CCTGCACCCACGTGGCCATGCTGCCCTGGGCTCGGCCATGGCCCAGCAAAGCCACTGCACACGTTGGCACTGGCATGAGTCCACGGTCCCATGGGAGGGCAGACAGGGTGGGAGTTGCTGCCATGCCGGGAGGGGTCACACCTCGCCCTGGCACTGAGCCAGGTCTCGGCAATCCCTGGCACAGTTTTGCTGGGTCCCAGAGCAGATTTGGGGCATGCTGTGCCAGGAGGGACGGGCAGGTGGTGGGAGAGGCATGTGCACTCCTTATGGACAGCGAGCCATCCGGAGGGGCTGCTGGGGGGGATGCAGGGTGGGGGCCCCATGCATCCCACCAGGCAGGGGGCTGCCAGGAGACCCTGACCACCCCCAGCCCTCGACCGGGGCAGGAGGCAGGGCAGGTGGCAGAGCCGGGTCACTGGAGCGGGGCAGAAGGCAGGGAGCATCCTCACCCCATGCTGACCCCACCAGGCATCCTGTGCCCCTTCCCTCTGCACCCTATCCCGCAGGCTCCCTGGCACCCAGTGCCACCAGCCAAGCGCTTCCTGCGTGCCTGAGGCCTCAGTGGCAGCTATGCTTGCAAGTGCCGGGCCATGCCTGGTGCCGGGGGGTGGCACTCCCAGCATGCCTGGATGGGGATGTGGGGCAGTGTAGGTGGCCATGAGCAGGGGCTGGGGCTGGGGCGGGCTGGCTGCCGGCAGGGTGAGGTTGCTGGCAGCACCGCTGCGCTCTTCGAAAGAGTCAGGCACAGCGAGCCAGGGCAGGAGGCAGCAGGAGGTTAGCGAGGCTGCGTGCAGGGCCCAGAGCCAGGGCACTGTGACCCGGAGCAGTGGCAGAGGATGCAAACCCCTTCCCCAGGCTGCTTGGGGTGAAGGGGACAAGGGCGGGTGCTTCCCAGTTCCCCTGAGGGGGCAGGACCTCTAGCACCGAAGCTTTCCTGGGGCAGGGCAGGATGATTTGCCCTGTGCTGTGGGGTTCAGGGTGGGAAACCCAACCCTGGGGAAGGGGAGGGCACCCCGAAGGGTCCACACAGGGACAGGCGCCCATCGCCTTGCATGGAGCCATGCACGGCCGCTGGAGCCGGCACAAGCTGCCGGCATGGCTGGGCGCGGGTAAAGGTTTTGGCAGTGGAGGTGCCGGTGACTCAGAACCAGGAGGAATGTGGAAAATGCAGCTCGGCCGCCATGCCACGTGAGATGCAGGCAGGGCCAGGCCTGCCAGCGCGGCCGGGCTCCAGCGCCGCGTGCACCGCACTGCGCACAGCGACGCTCGGCCGGGGCAGCAAGTGCGCCCTGCTGACGAGGCGCCGCGAAGGCCCTAATTAAGTGCGTGGGTGGCCGGGACGGGTTCAGCTCGCCCTCCTCTGCAGCATTGAGCAACCGTGCAGCAGGCTGGCACGGTGCGGCCACCTGCCCAGCTGGCAGTGGCAGCCGGCTGGGATGTTTTTGGGAGCCCAGGGGCCATGGGCTCAGCCCCTGCCTGCTTCAGCCCTGCGCTGGGTGACGGTGGCAGGTGGCAGCTCCACCGGTGATCACCAGTGGCTGGGCCATGTGAATAAAAGCTGCCTGAGCTTGCAGGGTGGTGGGGCGTGGGAAGTGGGGAGCCCAGCTCCAGGCTTGTGTGTCCCACTGTGACATGCTGCTGCCCTGGTGCCCATGGATGCTCTCTGTGCCCCCACTGCCCTCCAGCCCCCTCAGCCCAGCCCCAGCTCTCCCCAGGTGTGTTTGCTCCCAAACAGACCTGATGCTGCTGGAAGAAGCTGCCCAGGGACGCCCCAGTCCTCCTAAGGTGTCATTTGGAGGTGGCATGAGCTGCTTCTCCGCTCCCAGGTGCCTCCAGCCACCCTGGAACAGGCAGAGGATGGCCCTGGAGACTGGCTATTGCTGGCAAGACCTGGAGCACCAGCATTTGCAGGCAATGTTGCCTTCAACCAGGGATGGAGAAGATCCCGCAGGAGCAGCTCCCAGGCACCCGCGCTCTCCACCCGGGGCAAAGCTTGTATGTCCCTTTGGGCAGGGCCAGTGCGTGCCCAAAGGGAAGTGGCTGAGGGATTTAATGCTGCAGGGAAAGGGAAAGGCTGCAGGGAGGTGGGTCCCAGCTGGCAGCTTTCCTGGAGCATCCAGGGAGCGCAGGCAGGACTCGGGCTGGCAGCAGGGGCAGGAACGGGGCCGGCTGCAATCCAACGCTCAGTCATCGGGTCAAAAGCCGGCTGAGTGAGGCCAGTGACAGAATGCACGGCAGAGGCCGAATCCAAGCTGCAAAGCACAAGGGGGTTGTTGGCATCTTCTCTTCCACCCATGACTGTGCTGACGACCCCCTTCTGGACCAGAAACAGGTTCTTGGGGTCCAGGTGGGATGAAAATAGTCCAGTGATTTGATTTTTGGGAAACAGCCATGTGACACTTGCCTGCTTGTCCTTGTCCCACCAAGGAATGACTTGGAAAGGCGAAGACCCAGGGGCAGAGGGGTTCAGGAACCAGGGAGCACTCCCAGGGTGGTGGTCTTGGGGCCAGGGAGGTGTTTACAGGCAAGACTGGTTCAAATGCCTGGAAAAGAGGGTGAGAGCCAAGAGGTGAAGCCATAGCTGGGGTAGGGACATCTGGGGGCAGAGGGCACCCTCCGGACCACAGACAGTGAAAGGTGGGAGGGCAGGAAGCTGTGGGGTCAAAGTGAGTCAGGTGCAAGTCACTGCCAAACAAAAGGTGAGATGCTCGGATAAGAACCGCAGCTGACTCAGTGTTTCCACCTCTTCCAGAGGGTGACTATGGGGGATGGCCAGGGACCAGCTGGGATCCACAGGGATCAGCTGCGACCCCCCCTTCACGTGGAGCCAGCGCTGGGAGGAGGTGGCAATTGCATCCCTATGCCTTTGGGACCCCGGAGCCCAGACCTGATGAGGGGAGCAGCACCTGCTGCCACGCAGGACCCCCACCCAGTGCCGGTGTCCTGTGGCATGGGGGATCCCGGGGAGATCCCAGCAGGAGCCCAGCAGCCAGCCTGGGAACCTGGGCTGAGAGCCCATACCTTCCTGGAGTGCCCAGGCAGAGGCTGTTTGAATTAAATAGGAGATATTTCCCCCTTATTAGCGGGCTATTAATCACATTCAGTTTTTTTTAAATTGAGCTGTTGCACAACAGGTTGAGTAACAGCCTAATAACAGCCTGTAAATCTCAGTTTGCTCTCCGGGAGATTACAGATGTTAATAACAGATAATGACCCACAACTCATGAGCTGCTCCTCTTCCCCGCCCCTTTGATCCCTCTGCTCTGCCCCTCACTGTACCCAGCCCCCAGGATGGAGCGGGGCTGCAGGGAAACCCCCAAAAATGCAAACTGCCACCTAACCCCCCCCAGCAGCACCACCCAGCAGAGCCGGGGGCCGACTGCTCGGGCCTGACTGCAGAAGCCAGCCCCCACTAACCCCAACTTTTCCTGCAGCTCCCTGCCACTACCTGTGCTGTGCCCCGGACCCCTCCGGAGCACTGTTTTTGGGGTCCTTGGCTCTGTGCGCTGGTTCACGCGACCCATCTTTAGCCATGGGAACACAGGGAGCAGCAAAGCATCTGTGCATCCATGGCTGCGCTCCTGCAGCCTGGGGCTGCCAGCTGGGAGCCGGTGCAGGTCCCCTGGCGCTCAGGTGCCCACAGGACTGGTGTGGGACGGCTGGGGCAGGCAGGGCTCTGCCCCTGCTCTGCCAGCCCCGTGCCTGCCTGCTGCCAGACCCTGGGCATAAATCTCCCCATCCCATGTCCTCCCTGCTGCCATCAGCGCAAGGGGTCTGGGTCTCACGCAGTCAGGGGCTGCTCTTGGGTTTGCTGCCACCCCAGACATGGCAAGACCAGAGCACATCGCATGCTGCAAGAGGCAGTTGCACTGAGACAGGCACCCGCTTGCTGTAGCAGCCGCACAGAGGAGCTAACCCCTGCAAAACCTCCTGGGGAGGTTTCCAAAGACAGTCCCCTCCCCACCTCCTGGCTGCTGCCCCCATCCCTACCTGCCCCCTCGACCTAGAGGGTCCTTCCCAAAATGGGGGCTGCCCACATGGATGCATCCCGACATAACTTTCCATCCTCCCTGGATGGGTGCACACGCTGCCTGCGGCCTTCCTTCAGGATGTGCACACCCCTGCGAGCCCCAGGGCGGCCATGTGAGGTGTTGGCTGCGCAGGGCTCGGCTCAGCCCCAGGCACTGCTCTGGGGACAGTGACAGCCCCAAAAGGGCTCCCTCTCTCCCTGCCCTGTGCACCAGCTGGGATCAAGGGGATGAAGGGACCCTGTGGGAGGGATTGGATGCGTATTGCCCCCAGAGGGGGGGAAAAAAGGGTGGGGGATGACTTTCTTCTGTCACTTATCCTGGGTCTGGCACCACCAAGCCAGGGCATGGGAGCAGGGTGACAAAGGGTGCCCGGCTGCCCAGCTGCAGGACTGGTGCAGTCTTTGGGGTGTGGGGTCCCTCCATCCCCAGGCCCAGGGGATGTCCCCCGTGGGTGGCAGCCTTCCCCGCCAGCATCCTCACAGCGCCCCGCAGGATCTGAACCTGTGTCCGCTGCCACGGGGAGGGCGCAGAGGCTGGCAGGAGCCAACGGACAGGGTGCGGGAGGAGTCGCCCAGCAGGCAGGGCCGGCGAGGTTGGTGAGTCACTGCCAGCTTTCCCTGCTGGGGTGGGACCGCCGCAGCCGCCCGGCATCCCACTGCGCTCCCCGGTCGCACCAGCCAGCACCGAGCAACCAGCAGGCACGGCAAAACCCACTCCTCTGCTCCAAGGGCTCCTTCCCCAGCACACAGGGGGCTCCTGGACATGCCAGGAGCCCATGCCCATCTCCAGCAGGCCAGATTAGGTGTGGGGCAGACAGCGGTGGGGCCCCGGCCCTTGTGCAGGCACCTGATGTCCCCCACCCTGCTCCTTGCAAAAGGGTGCAGATAGTTGGGGGGTGCTGGGTCCCCCCAGTGCAAGCACTCCTGCCATGCTGTGCCTACCCAGGCTCTGTGTACACGTCAGCGCCATATGGCAACAGTCGCTGCCACTGGCGCTGGCACCACCAGCAAGGTACGGAAAAGGATGGGGAAGCAGCTGTGTTTGCTGTGAGAGGCGACTGCCGTCCGGGAGCTGTGGGCCAGCACCCCGGACGTCGCCGAGCCAGCGCAGGCAGCACCCCTGTGCCACTGTGTAGGTGTCCTCGTGTCCCTCCAGAAGCACCATGCTGTCCCTCCAGCAGACCTGGGACACCGCTGTAGATGGACACTAGGAGAGCTCATCCAGGCAGGGCTTGGTCTCCAGCAGCTGCCTCTGGTGAGGATTATACAGTGACCCAAGGGGGCTCTGGGGTCCTCCTGAGGAGGAGGCGTAGAGCCACCAGCCTGCGGAGTGGGAGCACCCAACACGTCCCTCTGGATGCAGAGATGGCTCAGGTTTGTCCTGCCTGCAGGTGCAGCATGATGCTGCCTTGGGCCATGGCGCAGTGTCCTCTCTACACCCAGGGAAGGTGCTCGGGGGCAGCCCTGCGGGGTGCAGAGAGGATGAGCAAGGAGGAAAGCACTTTCTCAAGAGGAGGAGATGCTGGCTGATCTGCAAGCATGCCTCTGGGGACACAGCAGCCACAGCCAGGCCACCCCAGGAGTGCTGGCCGTCCCACCCAGCCAAGCCTCCAGCGCCTGGCACCCCGTTAGGCGGATGCCGAGCTGTGCTCTCCCTGCCGGTATGTGGCACCGGGGCCACTGGGCCTTTCCCTAGGGATACCTCACAGCAGGATGAGGACGGTGCCACTCCCTGGTGCAGGGAATGTGGGCCAGGGCTGCCCCAGACAGTTTCCTTTCAGATGTTGTTAGTAACCCTGCACTTGAGTCGGGGTGTTTGTGGGTGCTCCTGCTCCATGCTGGCCCCATGGCTACCCCCAGGTGGGCGACGGGGGCTGTGGCCCCCTTCCCAGCCTGTCCACAGCCACGTTCCTCCATGACCTGCATGGGGACAAAATCTCCTCCATGCAGCCCTACAGGGAAGGAAACCTCAGCAGCGGGGTGCCAGAGAGGGGTGCAGACAAGGGTGCAGCGGTGTCCCCATCCCGGCACCCAGGGAGGGCTGGTGGCCCTTCTCCATCCCTGTTCCTTGGGCTTCCCCTGCAGTCGGGGGCTCCCAGGAGTGGGGTGACAGCCACCCCGGCGGTGATGAAAGGTGGCGGAGGGGAGGTTTGTGGCCGGGAGGCTGCTATAAGAGAGCCCGGGACCTTTGATATGCAGAAGCCTCGGGCCCCGCTGATTGCATTAGCGGGTTTAGTGCCCGAGCAGGCACCCAGCCCTGGCTATCAGGAGCAGACAAGCTGCTAAAGGGCTCAGCTCCCATTTTAGATGCAAATGACCCTGCAATTGTGGACTTGGAGGGGAGAAGAATCCCAAAATCACCGTCGGGTGGAAGCAGACCTGACTAGAGACAAAAAGGTTCCCAGGCGGCTTGAGTGGCCTCGTAATGGCCCCATTGATGCCTCAGGTGTGGGGCATCGCAGCCTCAATGCTTTCCCGGAACCAGCCCCTTTATGGGAAGTGCAGATTCCCGGAGGAATCTCCTACCATCCCCACCACCAGCCCGGGCTGCCCGCATGTCCCCCTGCCTGCCACTAATGTCCCCAGGGTAGGCAGCTCCTGCCCCAGGGCCTGGAGCTGGGCTCTGCTCCCAGCTTTGAAGTGCATCAGATTGGGCTAATGGGGAGGTGCATCCACCAAACCCGCACCCAGAGGGGCTGGGGGAGGCAATCCTCCACCCAGGGCTGGGGTGGTCCCGGGGAGGTGACCAGGCACGGCTGGAGTGTCCCCCGGTGTCCCCTGAGCCCCAGCATACCCCGAGCCCCTGTGCCTGTTGTGGTCCCATTTGCAGCAGGTAAGCTGGAGCAGACTCACGGGGTCACCCGTGGATTTGAGTCATTTTGGGAGCATCCCAGCTCCCTAAATCCACCCAAGCGCTTGGAGCGAGGCTAGGCCACCGTCCCCACTGGGATGTGGCAGCCCCCAGCCCCCTGGGGCAGTGAGGAAGGCTTTCCTTCTCCTCCTCCCAAGCACCATCCCAGTGCTGCTCTACTGCCTCTGGGGCACCTTGTGCCACCCCACGACCCCACCTTTTGTCACCCCACAGGGAGAGCCCACCTGTCCCCTAAGCTGCTGTGGGCTCTCCCTCAGGTGGGGGGAGTGCTGCCCGTCTCCCCACGGCTCCTTACCCCCGCCCCTGGGCTGTAAGCCTGCGAGGGCAGGCTCCACAAATGGCTTGGTGTGGGGAATGCCTGGGATGCGGGACTGGGGTCCCCCCTGCACAGTTCCTTACCCGCTGCCTTGGGGGCAGCCAAAAAACCAGCCCCACAAAGTCCCCCAGCTCCATGGAGAGCTCCACAGAGCCTCATAGAAACTCCCCTTGCCCCCCAGCAGCCTCAGCCCCAGAGCAGGAGGGATGTGGGGCCATGCATGAAGGAGAGCAGTGGGGCCAGGGGGGTCTTGCAGCTCAACCCCCAGGAAGATCCCTTCTCCCCACTCCAGACTCTGCCCTCCCCATGGCATGGGCATGGCCATGCCATGGACCCCCCTCCAGCAGCCTCCTCGCCCTCACATGTGCCACAAGTTCAGTCAGATCTCATTCATCCCACATGTCTGTGAGGGGAGATGGCTTTAGAGCCATCAGCCCTGGGAAAGTCCCCCGGGGTCCCCTGCATCCCACAGTGCATAGGGTGCCAGGGAAGCAGGAGGAGCTGAACTAGCATGGTGGGGAGCAGGGGACCTTGGGGTCCTCCTATGTGGTCACTCGCTCACAGTCACCACTGCTTTCCAAAACAAGGAGGCAGCCGGGCAGGTGCACAGGACACAGCCTCTGTGTCCGTCCCTGCAAAACCGCGTGGCTCTACTTTGATGTAGGTGGAAAATTCCCCGTCTGGCTGGGAAGCTGGGGGGCTGGGGACTCCAATGCCAGCTACACACAGTGAGGAATTAAAAGCGTGTTTTGTTGGAAAGATTTTTCCTCTCCTGACTGGGGAGGTGACATCCGAACCTTATTTTCCTTTCCGTGCTGGGACACGCGCCAGCGGGGCTGAGCGGTCCCCGGGGAGCCATGGGACGCTGCGGCCGCACTGAGCCCCTCGCCGGCACGTGGGAGGTAGCGGTGGAGCGGGACCGAGGGACAGCGGGGAAGATGGAACTGGGGAAAATGGAGGCCACTAGAGATTGGGTTTGGGCTCGGGGCTGTTTGCCTGTAGCCTGAACACACGCTGAGGTCGGGCAGGGAGCCTGCTCGGCTGTGGATTTCAAAATAGCACCTCATCTGCCAAGGACCCTCCTACTCTGCCACGGGCTGGGTGGATCCCGGCCCTGCTGTGCACCTTGTGCTGCTGGCGAAGTGCTGCACGCCTGGCCGGCTCCGCTCCAGCGCAGCAGCCACTGCGGGGCCGGGGGGCAGGGAGGGGAGCGCTGGCTGCTCCTGCTGCATGCCTGGCAGTGGCTGTGCACCAGCCCAGCTCGGGGACAAGCAGTCCGCAGCCACCCCTGGGCACTGTCTGGCCAGAGGACACTTCTCTGCAGGCGTGCTCCAGGCAGGTTGCTGGGCTCCAGCCCCGGCAGCACAGTGCCTTGGAGCAGGTGGAGAGGAGCATCCCCATCTTGCGGCATCGCCTCCAGAAGCTGGGAGTCCCAGGGACCCTTCACCCCAGGGCAGTGGTCTCTGCTTTGGGACCACGCTTGCAGGATGGCAGTACCCCTTCTGCCTGCTTCCCGCAGGGCACCGCCTTAGGGCAGTAGCAAACTGGGGCTAATACATCGGGACCACCCAGGGAATGCGGAGGAGAGTGGCGTGTGCGCTCTGGGGCTGGGAAAAGCCAGGTTTCCCCCTAATCCCTCCCCTGGGGGACTGCCCCACTATCCCACGGCTTGTGAATGGCCACCGGGTCCCCTTGGGAGCAAAAGCTTGCGAGAGTCTACCCTCCAAGAAACCTGCTGCCAGGCCAGCCCCAGAGGATGCTCGGGGATTGAAGGCTGCAATTAGGATCTTCCTCCATCTTTTCGGATGTGGGTGCTGCCCTGGGGGACACTGGCAGCCAGGCACAGGGTCTGCTGGAGCCAGGGTGCTGTGGCTCCCACTCAACCGGCTGGGGCACCACCAGCGCTGCACACACGTGTGCACATTCACTTGCAAATGAGCTTGCGAGCTTCCTGGGGATTATGCTCATGCCACGAAGCTCCAAAGCTTGACTGGTGCTGCGAGGCAACCCCTCTCCATCCCCAGAAATGGCTCCAGCCCCAGCAAAAGGGAGGGAAGGGTTCAGCCTCTGGGTCTGCAGTGATTGTTCTTCACCCCTTTCCTACCTGTTCAGATTTGCCTCTGTCCACCCTGGGACCAAGAGCACCCAGCGGTCCCCTCCATCCCCACTGTCCCCGCTGTCCCCAGTGCACGCCAGCACCGCCAGCCCTGCCAGGGTAGGTGCAGCAGCTGGTTCCCTCTGAGTGACTCATGCTGAAGTACATGACGTTCACCATATTTCAGGGCTTTTGGCTTGGATGAGAAAAACATCAGGGCGTAAGAAAGTTTCTTTGTGAGCTGCTCTTAAAATACTTGAGGGACTTCTCCTTCCACTTGCTCACATTCTATTTTTTTGGGAGAAAAGTAGCATTTTTAATAAAAAATCCTTTTGATTGTTTATAGCATGGAAAATAGACAATTAAGCAAAATGTTTTGTCTTGATTTATAAAAAAAAAAAAGACGACAATCCGGGTCCATCCCAAACAGCTCCTGGCTGCACGCAGTGAGCAGCGAGTGCGTGGCCCTGCAGCCGGACACGCTGCCTCCACCACCTCCTCCCTCCACCCTGGCCCCTCCGCCCCCCGGCGGGCCCTGGGTGGGGGGGGCCGGGGAGCCACATGGCCGCTGCACCCGCTTGCTGCCTGCCTGAGGGGCCATGCTGTGGCCATAGCCGGCAACGCTGCCCGTCCTGGCGCGGCTCTCCTGGCAGCTCAGTGTGGTTTTGCTGCTGCGTTTGCTCACAGGGTTATCTGCTCCGGAGCTTGTGTTGGTTTTGGCACGCAGTG